TCCTCGTCATGCTCCGCGTCGCCGTCGCGCTCGCAGCCGCCGTCGCCCACGTCCACGGCTCGAGCCTCGCGTACCTCGTCGCGCCCCTCGCCGACCCGCATGGCTCGCCGCCCGGCGACGACGGCCGCGCCGCCTTCGTCCGCCCCGTGTGCCGCGCCGCCCTGCGCCTCCTCCTGTGGGCGACGGCCTGGGCAGGCAAAGGGCCCCTCGGCGCCCTCCTCGCCGCGAGAGCGCCCGCCGACGTCGCCCGCGCCCTGTCGCACGACGCCCTCCTGTGGTCGGCCTACCTCGCCGCCGCGTTCGGCCTCGCGTGCGAGACGTTCGTGCGCGCACTCGCAGACGACTCGGGCGTGTCGCAGCCGTTGAACCTCCTGTCGTTCTCGTTCCTCCTCCACGTCCACTCGTCGGCGGCGCGCACGGCGTCGCTCGGTGGCGGATTCGGCCTCGCCGGCGACGACGACGTCTCGCCGTCGTCGGGAGCGTCGGCCCGTCACGCCGCCGTCGCCGCTGCCGCCCACAAGGACGCCGACGACGTGATCGGCCTCGCGTCGGCCCAGCTCTACATCTACCTCGTCACCATCCTCCTCGAACTCGCCTCGCTCCAGCTGTCGTACTGCGCCCACTTCTGGAACGCGCCCTCGTTGTCGGCCCCGGGCACGGCCGCACCGCACCGCACCCGCACCTCGCCGCGCAAGTACCGCCTCCCGATCACGGCCCTGTTCAGCCTCGTCCAGCAGGCGTTCGCGATGCGGTCCTTCGCCGTCCTGTGGGGGTGGGTCGACGCCAGCCCCGAGCGCAGGATGCTCGAGTCGGACCAGTTCGGCACCGTATGGCTCAACAAGGTCCCCGAGCTGTGCTTCGAGGTCGTCGTCGCGTCGAGCGTCGCCGTCAAGGCCCTCGCAGCCGCCATCCGCGGTGAAGAGGTGCGTCCCCTCCCTTTTCTCTCTCCGTCCTGGGTCGAGGCACTGACCCTCGAAGCCTCGCAGCTCTCCTTCGACAACCTCGTCGGGCACCCCGTCATGTCGCCCACGAGCGAGGAGGACTACCCGGTCGCCCTCATCAAGTGCGTCTCCCCCTCTCTCTCTCCCTCTTGCGCATGCCGTGCTGACTCTCGTCTGTCGCAGGTACGTGACGCACCTCCTGTCGACCACCCGCCTGTCCGGCCTCGCCCTCGAGCTTCACCCGCTCGACGTCCTCCCCCTGTCGCTTTCGATCCAGCTCGAGACGCTCGGCCTCGTCGACCCGCCGTCCTGCGGCGACCCGCTCTGCGACCTTCACGGCCCGGCCGTCCGCGCCCAGCAAGAGCGCGAGCGCGCTCGAGCTCAAGGCGCCGGCGTCGTCCTTGGTCGCGCGGGCAACGTCGCGTTCGACGACGGGCCCGCCACCCTCGCGCCTCCCGGCCTCGCTCGCGAGGTGCGCCGCATCAGCGTCGCCGGGATCGAGGGCGACGACGCCGACGCGCAGCACGCCGGCGCGGGCAGGCGCAGCACGGCGAGCCTCGCGCACCTCGAGGGCGAGCGCAAGAACGCCCTGTGGCGCTTGATCGTCCTCGTCGCGCGCTGCGCGCTGTACGTCGTCTGGCGCGTCGCGACGACGGTCAAGCGGGCGGCGAGGCGCGCAGCTTACCGCGGCTCGCGGTGGGCGAGGCGGGCGGCGGCCGTCTTTGGGTGGAAGAAGGACGAGACGGCGCTTGAGCGCAGGTGGTCGGCCGAGCGCCGTCGCAGGGGCGACACGCCGCTCGCGGCCGCACCGGTCGTCGAGCTCGAGCGCGCGGCGGAAGAGGACGGCGAGTCGACCGACGACGAGGACTGGGTGCCGTCGAGCGCGTCGGCCGAGGGCGACGACGACGACGGCCCGTCGTCGAGCGAGTGGGAGTCTGACGTCGACGACACGTCGTCTCGCGTCTGCCGAGGCCGCTCGCCGACGCCCGCACCCGACGCCGACGACGCCGACGTGCCGTACGCCCTGTTCGCCGACGCGGGCCCGGACGGCGAGGCGCTCGCGCCCTACCTCCTCGCGCACCAGGTCGCGCGCACGGCCAGCCGCCCGCTCACGCGCAGGCGGTACCGCTCCCTCCTTCCCTCGTCGTCGTCGGGCGCCGCCTCGTCCCGCACGTCGCACGCGCCGCCGCACGACCCGGTCGAGGCGCTCTCCACGGCCATTGCGGCGCGGCGCGGCGAGGTCCTCGCGAGCCTGCCTGGGGTGCGGCCGGCGGCCGAGGAGCTCGAGGCGGCGAGGGACAAGTGGCGCGACGAGCGCGCGAGGTTCTGCGTCGTGTGCCAGGTCGAGGACCGCACGATCGTCCTGTGGCCATGCCGTGCGTCCACCTCTCTCCCGTCTCTCGTCGAGTGTCCCGAGCGCCGAGCCTAACCATCTCTCGACTCGCTCGCAGGGTGTCTGTGCCTGTGCGAGGACTGCCGGGCGTCGCTCGCCGACCGTGCGACGGGCGGCAACGGCGGGCAACAGCCCGGCGCGCCTTCGAGCGGCGGTGGAGCGCTGTGCCCGACGTGCAGGAGCGAGGTGCAGGGCTTCAGCAGGATCTACGTGCCGTAGCGTAGCGAGGGCGCACGCGTGCACTGAGTGTTGTTTTGCCGCTCGCGCACCGAGAGAGCAAGAGTCGCCCCTCGTCGCGGGAGCTTTCCGAGCGCCGAGTCGCCCAGTCTCATGAAGCTTGTCCAGCTGCGCACTGTGAAAGAGCGCTCGAGAGCGGTACCAGGTGTTCGAGTCGGTCTCGTCGCTCGCGCTCTCGACCTCACATCAACCTCGCGCAAAGCTCGCCGCGACAGCATCAGCGCCACCGCGAGCAACCGTTCCGACATGCCAGTACGCCGGCACGCACCGCCCGACGAGGACGACCTCGTGTGGGACGAGGCCAAGTTGGTCGCGAGCACCCAAGCCGAACGCGGCGAGCTCTTCCTCTTGACGTGGCTCAGTGCGGCAGAGCGGGCTGTCGAGTCTCTCCCTCAAGTGCGTCCCCAATCTTCTTCCTCGTCCCAGAGCTCGACGAGGAGAGACGACGAGTCGACGAGGCCCGATGAGCGATGAGGTGGGGGGACCCACCACGCCGCCACGACGAGCTGGACTGGCGCGGGCGATGACGCAGTGCGGAGCTGTATGCCTGCAGGGAGCTGGGCCGCAGCGGCACGCATGCCCGAGCTGTCGGTCGTGCACCACCACCACCGCCTCCTCTCCTCGTCGCACCTGCTCACGCCTCTCGCTTCCCGGTCCACAGGATGTCGTCCTCAAGCATCAGCAGCCCCTCACCAAGTCCCTTGTCGCCCTTGTCACCCCGCCAGCCCCGTCGGCGACCCACCCCGTCAAGCCCGGCCGCCCGGCTCGAGCCCTCATCTCCCGCATCTTCGTCACGCTCCTGCGTCGAGGCGACACCAAGAACCTGTTCGACCTCGCCCAGTCGCTCCTTCGATGCCTGAACGGCTCCGAGACCAAGGGCGCACCCGAGCGCGAGAAGGAGTGGCGCATCGGCGCCGCCTACGTCCTCGGCGAGGTCTACGCCGCCTACGGCCAGCAGGTCATGAGCCTCTACGTCGAGATCGTCATGGCCACGACGCGCATCTTCCGCACCTCGTCGTACCCGGTCATCCTCCGCCATGCCGCCCTCGTCTGCCTCCGCAAGGTCATCTCGGTCGTCGCCCGCTCCATGTCGGACCAGACGACGCGCGACACGCTCAAGGCCTTGCGCGCCGGCCTCGCCGACAAAGCCGGCGCCATCGTGCGAGGGTGCGCCGACGTGCGTCCGACCTTTCCCTGCCCCCAAGCTCACTCGAGCCGTCACTGACCCGGTCCTTCCCCCGACACAGTGCCTCCTCGCCCTCTCGGCCGCCGAGGGCACCTTCGCGACGCTCGCCGACATCAATGACGTCCTCATGCCCGCCTTTCGCGCCGTCGAGCCGGCCGACTTTGTCACGCGGCGGTCCCTGTCGCGCCTCGTCGCCGGCCTCCTCGCCGCGACCCAGGAGGAGGGCAGCGCCGCGCCCGCTCCCGCACCACCCGCCCGCAAGGGCAAAGACGCGGCGAGCGCTGGCGAGGAGGAGGACGACGGCTACCCGACGATCGGCGCGCCGCAAGCCGGCACCGACGGCCAGGGCAAGACGCTCCTGTCGCCGCTCGAGATGCTCGCGCAGCTCTCGGGCGTCTACAACCGCTCGACGTCGTCGCGCAGGCTGCGCAACGCCCTCGTCGACGTCTACGGCGAGCTCCTCAAGACGCTCGGCGGCGGCTGGGTCGAGCAGCACTACCCGGACATCGTGCGCCACCTCGTCGACGAGCTCGGGTGCGGCGCCGCAGCTGGTCTCGGCTGGATCGGCTGGAGCGCGCGAGCGGCCGAGCGCATCGACCCGGCCAAGGCCCGGTACGACGCGCTCGCGGCCCGCAAAGCCGTCGGCATCCTCCTGCGCGACGTCGTCTCGGCCCAGCTCCTGTCCGAGGCCGGCCAGATCACGGCCCTGCGCGAGGTGGCGACGCTGTACCTCGCCAAGTGGCCGTCCCTCATGCCCAACACGCCGGGCCCGACCAAGCAGGCGCTCCTCCTCGCTCTCGAGGAGACGACGAGCCTCCTGCGCAGCCTCGGGTGCGCGCCGTCCGCCGCCCAGGACGTCGTCTACGACCCGCTCGTCCGCCTCGCGGCGCACCCGAGCCACAGCGTGCAGGTCGCCGCAGCGTGGGCGTTGCGCACCCTGTGCAGCGCCGCGCCGAACCGCCTCGCCGGCGCCATCACGCACGTGACCGACCTCCTCAACAAGGACCTCGCCATCATCTCGAGCGGCGGGCCGAGCAACAGCGCCAACGTGCACCGTCGCGCCGTCGGCCACGCCCACGCCCTCGGCGCCCTCATCAACCTCGTGCCGCACAAGCCGCTCTACGTCTCGTTCGACGCGTCGGCCAAGTGCATGAGCCTCGCGATCCAGCTCCTCAAGCAGAGCGGCAACCACGAGCTGCACGTGTCGGGCGTCGAGATCCAGGTCGCGTGGATCCTCGTCGGCGCGCTCATGAGCCTCGGCCCGACCTTTGTCCGCCTGCACCTGCCCCAGCTCCTCCTCCTGTGGCGCAACGCCCTCCCCAAGGCGACGAGCAAGGACGCGAGTGCGGCCCAGGTCCGCGGCGCCAACGAGTGGGCGTTCCTCCTCCACATCCGCGAGTGCACCCTCGGCGCCATCCTCAGCTTCCTGCGGCACAACGGTCCCTCGGCGTCCCGCGGCGGCCTCGTCACCGAGGACGTCGCACGTCGACTCGTCCAGCTCCTGTCGAACGGCCTCGCGTTCCAGCAGTCGTTCGCGACGGCGCACCCGTCCCTCGTCCTCGACCAGTCGCCGTCGACCTCGTCTCGCCTCCAGCTCGTCGACCGCGACATCATGTACCGCCGCCGCCTCCTCCAGTGTTTCGTCGCGTTCGGCCAGTCGTCGGCGACCCAGCAGCTCCAGATCCCGCTCCTGCAGCAGGTCGTCCCGCTGTTCTCGGACGTCGAGCGCTACTTCGGCGAGTCGGCGCTGCAGGCGGCGGCGAGCGCCGGAACGTTCACGAGCATCTGGGACGAGACGGACGGGTTCGCCTACGGCGTCACGAGCCTCGTCAAGGTCGCTGACGGGCTCAACGAGGTCGCAGGCGGCGGCGACACGGGCGCAGCGTCGTCGGCTGCCCTCGCTGCCGGCGGGCAGAAGCTCGCTCGGCTCAATCGCGACCGAGCCGAGGCGCGTATCGACGAGCAGCTGCACCGAGCCGTCCTCGGCGCCGGCGAGCACGACTCGCTCGTCCTGTGGTCGCGTCCTGCGGGCGACGCGACGCCGTTCGCGTCGCTCCCCGAGGCGCCGCCGCCCGCCGTCGGCCTTGTCGACGCCGCCCTCGAGCTGTTCGCCCTGTACTTCCCGCTCCAGGAGCCGGCCAACCAGGCGGCGCTCCTGCAGATCGTCGCCGGCAACCTGCGCTCGTTCCGCCTCGACAAGAACCCCGGCCGCAAGCAGGCCATCCTCGCCAACGCCGTCACGGCCGTCCTCGGCGCCCTGCGCCTCGCTCGTCGCGCCATCGACGCGCACCAGGTCGCCAACCCGATGCGCGAGCTCGTCAAGGAGGCGCTCCTGCACCCGGACGCGGCCTTGCGGCAGGCGGCGGCAGAGTCGCTCGGCCGCCTGTCGAGCCTCGGCGGGACGTCGTTCATGGCGGGCCAGGTCCAGTTCTGCGTCAACCAGGTCGTCAGCAACACGGACCCGGACAACCGCGCCGGGTGCGCGCTCGCGTTCAGCGAGATCTACTCGCACGTCGGCAGCCTCGCGGCGGCGCCGGTCCTCAAGACGGTCGTCGACGTTCTCCTGTCGCTCTCGGCCGACCCACATCCGCTCGTCCACTACCAGGCCCTGCGCTCCCTGTCGACCGTCATCGACGCCGCGTCGCTGTCGTACGCGCCGTTCATCAACCTGACGCTCGGCGTCCTGTGCAAGCTCTACATGCAAGACACGCACGAGCCCGAGGGCGGCACGCCCGGCTCGGTCAACCTGCGCGGCGACCTCCCGGCGTACCAGGCCATGTGCCGCGTCACCGACGCCCTCATCGGCGTCCTCGGGCCCGAGCTCCAGGACTCGGAGCGAGTTCGCGAGCTCGTCCTCGTCCTCCTGCGCGAGTTCACGCTCGAGCGCGACGACGGCATCGCCGTCGAGGCCATCCGGGCGACGCAGCACTTCCTCATCTTCGCGCCCGACGCGCTCGACCACGCCGCCCTCGTCGCCAACCTGCGCGCCCAGCTGTCGTCGTCCAAGCAGCCGCTCAAGGTGGCTGCCGTCAACAGCGTGTACCAGCTCGTGCAGCGCGACGCGGCCCTCATGAGCAAGCTCGGCGGCGACGGCCTCGTGCAAGAGCTCTTTGCGCTCCTCGACGACGACACGACGATCGAGGGCGTGCGCGACGCCATCACGTCGTGGCTGCGGCAGACGGCCGACGCCAACCCGTCCGGGTGGATCGACCTGTGCCAGCGCATCATGTCGCGCTCGGCCGGTGTCGCCCAGGCGCAGAAGCAGCGCGTCGACGCTGCAACTGCAGCAGGCGGGCTCGCCGACGAGGAGGCGCAAGGTCTCGGCGTCGACGCCGAGACGGGCGCACGACCCGGCGCCGCGACCGCCCGAGCGACGTCGCGGTGGCGCACGCAGCTCTTTGCGCTCGAGTGCCTGCACGAGGTCTTTGTCACGGTCCTCAAGAGCGGCCGGCGCGAGCACTTTGACGTCGCGAGGGCGAGGGCGGTCCGGGCCAACCGGCGAGGGCTCCTCATCACCCGAGTGCCCGACCTCATCAAGATGGCCTTCACGGCGTCGACGGCGCAGGTCATGGAGATCCGCCTCGAGGGCCTCGTCGTGCTCAAGGACGTCATCGACGTACGTCCCTGTCCTCCTGCCCATCGTCGTCGCCGACCTCGACCTGAGCCTCACGCTGTTTCCCTCCCTGCGAGCAGAACTTTGGCGCCTCGCAAGACGTCGATTTCGAGGACGCGCTCCTCCTCGAGCAGTACCAGGCGCCCATCGCGGCGGCCCTCACGCCGGCGTTTGCCGTCGACTCGTACCCCGAGGTGCTCGCGTCGGCCATCCAGGTGTGCGCCGTCTTTGTCGGGTCGGGCGTCGTCAAGGAGACGAACAAGATGGGCCGCATCCTCAAGCTCCTCACGACCGCGCTCGAGAGCTGTCGAGGTGCGCCGGCCCGCTCCTCCTCCTCCTCGTCTCCTCGTCGTCGCCCGTCTCCTGACCTGCTCTCGCGCTCGCAGACTCGGACATGACCTCGCTCGGCGACGTCCAGGACCTGAGCTCGACCGCCGCCATCATGCTCAAGACGTCCATCTTTGCCGCGTGGGCCCAGTTTCAGAGCGCGAGCGTCCGCCAACCCTACCTCGCCGACGTCATCCGGCCGCACCTGTCGCTCCTCTGCCCGTTCTGGCTCGCGTCCTTGCGCGAGTACGCCCGTGTGCGCACCGGTCCCGAGACGGCCTCGTCGAGCGACTCGAGCGCGGGCGGCGCAGCGTTCGACTCGGTCTACTCGGGCTTGTCGAGGGAGACGGCGCTCCCTGTGCGTCCACGATCGCCCTTTTCTCGCGCCGCCATGCGGAGCCTGCCTGACTTTCTCTCTCTTCCACAGTTCTACGAGCGTGCCTGGCCGCAGATGCTGCACGCCGTCGCGACGCTGCTCAAGACGTCCAACCCGCACCTCCTTCGCGCCATCGACGGCCTCGACCCGGACGACGAGTCGGCGCCGCTCCCGTCCCCGCACCGAGGCGACCCGGCCCTCTTCTTCTGGGTCCTGTTCGGCCTGTCGTTCGAGGTCCTGTGCTCGTCCGCGTCGGCGGGCGCGACATCGGCCGCCGCCGTGCAGGCGATCGCGCTCGAGGCGCTCGTCGGCTTGACCCGCCCGGACGTGGCCGGCGGCGTGCTGCAGGACGTCGCCCTGTTCGACGAGGTCTGCAACCTGTGCCTGCGCCTCGCCATCACCGAGGGCCCCGAGATCAAGGCGCGCGTGCTCGAGATCGTCATCAGCCTCGCTCGTGGCCTCGTGCGCGACCTGCCCGTCGCCGCCGTCGGCGCCAACGGCGCCGCAGTACCGGCGGACCAGGAGGCGAGAGGCGACGCCAAGCTCATTCAGTGCCTGCGCGTCGCGACGACGGTCCTGCGCGAGTCGATCCCTGCAACCACGACCGGCCCCAAGCGTGCGTCCTCCTACTTTCTCTCGTCTGCGCCTTGCGCCTCGCCTGACCCTCTCGCCTCTCGCAGCAACGTCCGTCAATGTCGCGCTCCACGTCCAGCATCTCGTCGCCGCCTTTACCCTGTTCGCCAACCTCGCCGACCTGTGCCCGAGCCCGCTCCGAGACGAGCTCTACGCGGTCGCCCTTTACTCGTACTCGGGTACGTCCGCGACTCTCCCTATCCCTCTAGCCTCAGTCCTCGACCCTGACGCTTCATCGTGCGCACAGTCCTCCTCGCCGACGAGAAGACCGAGGTCGACCTCGTCTCGCCGTCGCTCCCGGTCGTCAAGATCCTTTGCGACCGTGGCCTGTCGGGCAGAGGCAAGTCGTCGACCGTACTGCCCAAGGTCCTCAACGGCCTCATGAGCGCGTGCATGCTCAACATCGACGCTGTCCGGTCCGTCCTCGTCGTCTTCCTCCCTCACGACTCGCTCGAGCCGCCCTGTCTGACCCATTCACCGATGCGCGCAGTGGCCGCAAGTCGCCTGGCGCCGTCCTTAAGAGCAAGAACAACCTGTTAGCGTCGGTCCTCATCCTCACCTCGCTGCCGCCGGGCGCCCAGATCGGCCGCGAGGTCGTCGAGCACGCGTGTTTCCTTACCGGCGAGCTGGCACTCGAGGGCGAAGGCGAGGTGAGTCCCTCATGTTTCTCTCGAGTCTCTCTTTACGCTCGTGAGCTCACGTCCTCCTCGTGCAGGTGTCGGCGGCCGCGCTCAACTGCCTCGCCTCGCTACTCGTCGCGGCTTCGCGAGCGAACTCGGGCATCCTCGCCTTCTGCGCGAGCCAACTCGTCCCGGGCGTCATCGAGCTCGTCGCAGTTGCCGTCGAGCGCAAGTACACGGCCGAGAACCCGCGCGTGAGGGCGACGGACGAGGCGGTCAAGGCGCTGGTCGCCGTCCTCCTGAGCGTCCCGGTCGAGCGCAGTGCGTCCACGCCCTCCTTCCCCAGCCGCCTCATCTCACTCTCTGCGACAATTAACTGACTGCTGTACCCGCTCGCAGAGACGCAGTCGCTCTCGGTCGTCCTCGCGACCCTCATCGTCGCACTCTCGACGCCGCGACCACCGACCCCGCTCCACTCGCTCGCGCTTTCGCACCTCGTCCAGCTCGCGACGACGCACCCGGCACACTTCAAGGAGGCGACGTTGGCGCTGCCCGACGTGCAGCGCAAGGTGCTCGAGGACAGCATCCGGGCGGCGCTGGGTGGAGGCGGTGCGGGCGCGAGGGGCAGTGCGCCGGTCGACGAGGCGCCGCGGATCGAGCTCAAGACGTTTGGATAGAGCGAGGGATATCACTGCAACTGCGTCCTGTCTCTGTGTGCTCGCGCGAGAGAACGGCTTCGAGGTTGGCGGAGGTTCGCGGCGAGAGATGAAGCGCGAGCCCTCGTCCACCTCGCACTCGATCGCTGGATCCGCCCTAGCTGCACCAGAGCACGCTGCGCTGTACCGCCCCCAGCCAGCCCGCCGACCAACTCGAGCCGCCGGCGTCGCCGTTGGCTCCGCCGTCGACTCTCGCCTCGGCATCCCTCCGCTCCATCCGTCACGACGACGCCGCCCAGCCGCCTGTGACGACCGCCAGCTCCTGTCGACATGCTCTCGAGGCACCTCAGGACCCACCTCGTCCTCGCGCCGTCGACCTCGGTCGGCAAGAGCATCTTCTCGACCGGCCTCGTCCGCGCATCGCTCGCACTCGGCGAGAAGGTCGGCTACCTCAAGCCAGTCGGCACGGGCAGCGGCGATGGAGACGACAGCTGTGCGTCCTGCGCCCCCTTGCCCCCTCTTGTCTCGACCCTTCTCGACGAGCTGACCTCGTCCTCCCCACTTGCCGAATCGCAGGCACCTGCAGCGCTTCGCCCCAGGCGCGAGGACGGCCTGCCTGTTCCACTTCGATGAGCCTGTATCGCCGCATCTAGCCGTCGAGCGGGCAGCGCGCGGCGGCGGCCCGGTCACCATGTCGGTCCCGACCGACGACGAGTTCGCCTCGGCTGTCGGACGGCACGCGCGCGACTTTGCGCTCGAGACGGCGGGTCAGAGGAGCAGCCTGTACATCGAATCGGCAGGAGGTGCGTCCGTCTGTCTTTCCGCCCCATTTCTCGTGCTCCTCCCTGACCTCAACCCGCCCTCGCAGGTGTTCATTCGCCGACGCTTTCGGGCACCTCGCAGCTCGACGCGTTCCGGCCCCTCCTCCCGCCGACCATCCTCGTCGCGTCAGCCGAGCTCGGCGGCATCTCGACCACGATCTCGGCATACGAGTCGCTCCTCCTGCGCGGCTACGACGTCGACGCCGTCCTCGTCTTCCGCGAGGCGTACTACGCCAACCACGAGTACTTCGAGCGGTGGTTCAACGAGCGCGGCATCCGGGTCGGTGTCGTCGACCACCCGCCGCAGCAGGTCCCGTCCGCCGAGGAGGACGCCGCCAACCTCGAGGCGTACTACGCCCAGATCGCCGACACGCCGCTCCAACGCGTCGTCCAGCGCCTGCAGCAGATCCACATCGACCGCATGTCCAACCTCGCCACCGCTCCTCGGCGCACGCTCGACTCGGTATGGTGGCCGTTCGTCCAGCACGGCCTCGTCAAGAACGAGTCGGACGTCATGGTCATCGACTCGGCGCACGGCGACCACTTCAGCGTCTTCTCGACAAGCTCCCCACCTGTTGCCTCCCCTGCGGCGTCCCCCGAGCCGTCTGCGTCGCCCATCCTCTCCCCCGAGGCGCAGACCGTCCCCTCGGCTCCCCCGACCTCGTCTCTCCCATCCTCGCCCGTGCCACCACCACCCTCTCAGCCCCTTCTCTCCCCCATCTTCGACGGCTCCGCGTCGTGGTGGACCCAGTGCCTCGGCCACGCCAATCCCGAGTTGACGCTCGCCGCCGCCCACGCCGCCGGCCGGTTCGGCCACGTCATGTTCCCGACGGCGACCAACCTCCCGGCGCTCACCCTCGTCGAGAAGCTCCTCGCCTCGGTCGGCCAGGGCTGGGCGAGCCGCGTCTTCTACTCGGACGACGGCAGCACGGGCATGGAGGTTGCGCTCAAGATGGCGCTGCGCGCGTTCGCCGACCGCGAGCAGCTCCTCCCCGCCGAGGGCCGCAAGCTCGCCGTCCTCGGCCTCAAGGGCAGCTACCACGGCGACACCATCGGCGCCATGGACGCCTGCGAGGGCGGCGTCTACAGCGAGCGCGTCGAGTGGTACGAGGGCCGCGGGCACTGGCTCGCGGCGCCCGAGGTCCGCATCGAGCAGGGCGAGGTTGTCGTTCGAGGCGGCGCCGACGGCGGCGAGGTGGCGCGGTACCAGAGCTTGACGCAGCTTTACGACGTCGACGGCCGGGTCCAACACGACCCGCTCGCGCAGACGTACCGCGAGCAGATCGAGCGCGAGCTCGAGGCCCGCATCGCCAAGGGCGACGGCATCCGCTTCGGCGCACTCGTCCTCGAGCCCGTCGTCATGGGCGCCGGCGGCATGATCTTTGTCGACCCGCTGTACCAGCACGTCCTCGTCGACCTCGTCCGCTCGAACCGCACCCTCTTCCCCGCCACCTCTCGCGCCGGCGCGCCGTCGACCTCACCGATCGACTCGACGCCCGTCTGGCAGGGTCTCCCCGTCATCTTCGACGAGGTCTTTGTCGGCCTGCACCGCCTCGGGCGCGTCACCGCGTCGACCTTCCTCGGCTCGACGACCAGGCCCGACATCGCCTGCTACGCCAAGATCCTCACGGGCGGCCTCGTCCCCATGGCGGTCACGCTCGCGAGCGACGCCATCTTCCAGGCCTTCTGGGGCGACAAGAAGGTCGACGCGCTCCTCCACGGCCACTCGTACACGGCGCACGCCGTCGGTTGCGGCATCGCCAACAAGACGCTCGACATCCTCACGCGCATGGACCGGCGCGGCGAGTGGAACGACGCCAAGTTCGACTGGATCCAGCATGCGTCCAACCCGGGCCGCCAGTCGCTCGGCCCGCCGCCGGCCTCTCCGAGCCCGACCGAGCTCGCTTGGTCCTTCTGGTCGGCCGACTTTGTCCGCGACGTGTCGGCGCATCCGGCGGTCGAGGGCGTCATGGCGCTTGGCTGCGTCCTCGCCATCCACCTGCGGGCCGCCGACGGGTCAGGCTACCAGTCGACGGCGTCCGAGGCGATCCTGCGCCAGCTCCGGTTCGGCACGCCGCACGACGACGCGATCGCCTCGAGCGGCGCCTCGTTCCAGATCCACGCTCGCCCTCTCGGCAACGTCGTCTACTTCATGTCGTCGCTCAACTCGAAACCGGCGACGCTTCGCGCCGTCGAGGCGAGCATCAAGGCGGCGCTCGACGTCAAGGCGCAGTAGATGCCGCAGCAGTTAGACTCTCTCCCTCTCTATCTCTCTGTCTCTCGCATTTGCAATATCAGGCCCGGTCGAAAGTGTGCGTTACAGCCTGGCTGAGAGAGAAGAGCCGTCTCGAGAACTATCCTTGCGCCGGACCCACTCTGCGACGGCGTCGCACAGGCCGTCGACCTCGCGCACCGTGTTGCCCGCATGCAGGCACACTCGGACGCGCTCCTCGGCGTGCGGCACCGTCGGGTGCGTGATTGGGCGGGAGAGGAAGCCGCGAGTCCGGAGAAAGGCGGCGAGAGGGCGAGGGGACGAGGTGAGGAGCGGGATGATGGGCGACGTGGGAGGATGAGGTATGGCGCGAGTCGAGGGCGACGTGACGATGGCGACGAGGTGCGGCGGCAAGGAGACGGACGAGGGGGCGGGGAGGAGGCTCGAGAGCCGTGAGACGAGGCGAAGCGCGAGCGCGTGGACGTGCGCGGCGGGCTGTGGCGAGGACGGGCAGGACGTTCAGTCTCGTCGTCAGGGCAGAGTATCTCGAGACGGGAGGAGAGGAGAGGGCCGGGACGCACCGCCTCGCTGTGACCTTGCTCGAGCATCTCGAGCGACTTGACGACGGCGAGCGCGCTCAGGTGCGTCATGACGGTCGAGTAGATGAGCGGGCGTGCGTAGTTGATCAGGTAGTCGCGGATCAAGGGCGAGGCGAGGACGACAGCTGCGAGGCGACACACGAGAAGGAGGGTCAGCAAGTCGAATGGGCGAGAGGGAGAGAAAAGGGCGGGACGGACCGCCGCTGCAGGCCATCGCCTTGCCGAACGTGTGGACCCGCACTGTCACTCGATGCTCGAGACCGAGCGCCGCGACGAGCCCTCGCCCTCGCACGCCGTAAAGCCCGGACGAGTGCGCCTGCGAGAAATGGAGAGAGTCAGGCACCACGCTCGAGCGAGGGGAGAGAAGAGGGCACGAGCTAGACGCACCTCGTCGACCACCAGGTGCACGTTCCCTCGAGGAAGTACTCGGTCGATCGCGTCGACCATCTCGCGCAGCGGGGCCAGGTCGCCGTCCATCGAGTACAGCGACTCGACGCCGACCCACACGCTCCTCGTGCCTGTCCGCACGCCCTCGTCCCGCGCAGCGATGTTCTCGAGGACCCGCTCGAGTGACTCGACGCGATTGTGCCGGAACGCGCGCCGGCGCTCGCTCGGGACGCGGCTCGCGCGCATGCCATCGTGCATGCTCGCGTGCACGAGCTCGTCGTAGACGATCCAGTCGTCCGGGGCCGGCAGGCACGTCCACAGGCCGACGTTGGCGTCGAAGCCCGAGTTGAACACGAGCGCGGCCGGCGCGTCGAAGAAGGCGGCGAGGCGGTGCTCGAGCGAGGCGTGGAGGGGCGTGTTGCCGTCGAGGAGGCGCGACGACGGCGGGCCGTACAGCGGCGTCGCGGTACCATCGTCGGCGATGGCGAGGGCGTCGACGAGCTTGCGTCGAAGGACGGGCGACCGAGCGAACGACAGGTAGTCGTTCGACGAGAAGTCGACGAGGTTGGAGCTGGCGGGCGCTGCAGGGTCGAGCTGGCGCAGCATCTGCCTCGACTTGCGCGAGTCGAGTGTCGCCTTGAGTCGATCGTCGAGCGCGGTCGGCATCTGCGCGCGAGGGAAACGAGGTCAGCTCGTCGCAGAGAGAGAGGTGTCGAGAGGATTGCCCGTCGCCGAGGGCCGAACGCCGACGGCTGCCGCGCCTCCAGCAGGTCGTCCATCGAGCGCTCGAGGCGTTGGACGCAGCGGCTGGGCGACCTGGGGCTGTGTCGCGCCGTTCCGCGAGTCGACCGTCGCCCGGCGGTGTGCCGTCCCTCCTCGATGTCCCGCCCTCGAGGCTGGCCGTGAGAGCGCGCAGTCTCTCTCAGAGCTCTGCACCGACAGTTCTGACCACCGCTGTGCGAGCCCTAGCGCGCGCGTCCTCCTCGTCGGCGTGCACCGCCTCGCTCGCCCTCATCGCGCCTCTGAGCTGCCCCCAACCTGGCGACCGCGAGCCTCGTGGACTCGAGCCGGTGTGGACGCCAGTCGTGAGAGAGAGTGAGACAGAGGACGCACGACTGCAGCTTGAGCCGGCGGGGAGAGCTTGCGGGTGTTACGAGGCTCTGCTCTCTACCGGCGCTCGTCAGATTACTAGCGAGCGCTTGACTCTGGAGTGTGATCGCTCGGTCGAGGGGAGGGTCGAGAACTAGGGGCGAGTGGGGCCGAAGCTTCCCCGCCTTTCCTTTCCCTCCTCCTCCCCTCTCTCTCTCTCCCTCTCCCCTCTCACCGACACTCGCACCACCTCTCAGCACTCGCCTCGCACACGCTCAAACTTTCCCCCACAACTTCTACTACCTACCGTGCGTCCCACACTCTCCTCGTTCAGATTGAGGCCGGCCACGTCGCGTGACTCGCCCCCCGGTCCCTCCTCACTCGCACCTCGCATGGGCGTGGGCACGTCTGAGCGTGAACACCGAGGACTATCGCAGCAGGTCGAGCAGGAGCTGGCCCGGTCTCGAGGGAGGAGCAGGCGAGGGGGAGCCGGCCTCTGAGCGACGGGTGGGGGGAGCGGGACCACGACGAGGGCAGAAGCACACGGGCGGGACAGACGAGGGCAGAGGCGATGAGCACGAGGGCGGGACACGGGCTGGTCGACAGGCGCTCACCTGACTTCCTCGCCGTTGCAGACCTCGAAACGCCCAAGATGCCCATCACCGTCATCAAGTCCGAGGACGAGTACCTGCGCGCTGTGCGTCCCCCGCCCTCTCTGTATCTACAACACGAGCCCGGCTAACAAGCCCCGCCGTCGCCCGCAGATCAAGGAGTCGGGCATCACGGCCGTCGAGTTTGTCGCGCCGTGGGACGAGTCGTGGTCCGTCCCTCGCTCCACTCTCTCCTGTCTCGACGGAATCGACTCTGACGAGAGCCGTATGGACCTGAAACAGCAAGGCCATCTCGCCCAAGTTCCAGGAGTACTCGGACAACCCGCGCTGGAAGGACATCCACTTCTACAAGCTCGACATCTGCGACCAGCAGGTCCGTCCTCCTCCTCCTTCCGTGTGCCCCCCTTTTCTCGAGGGCCTCGGTCGACTGACGCTCTCGAGGATCGCACGCAGGACGCCGCCATGACGGCGCACGTCGACATGGCCCCGACCTTCCACTTTTACCGCGACGGCGCCAAGATCAAGGAGTACGTCGGCTCGTCGTACCCGGCCCTCGAGGTGCGCTCTCGCTCTCTCTCTCTCGTTCTCTCGAGCCGTGTTGAGCAGCCGACCTGACCGTCGAGCCTCTCCCTCCCCGCACAGCGCACCATGGGCGCCCTCGTGAGCGGCCACTAGTGCGCCACGTCCCTCTCGCAAGCTCGCACCCGCATCGCGCCTCTCTCTCTCTCTGCCTACCCGTCCAGCTGTACACCCTGTGCAGGCCACCTCGTCGTCGAGAGGCGGCTCAATGCGCGAGGGCAAAAACTCGAGGAGGAGGTCGTCGTCTTTTGTAGCTTTCTCGAGGGTGCAAGTCTGTCCAAGTTTCTCTCCCTTTCGCATGGCTACGAGCTCGAGAGACTGAGAGAGCCACTGTGCGTCGTCGAGGCCAAGCTCGTGGAGGCGAGACGAGACGAGACGAGACGAGTCGGTTGCGAGCCTCGTTCCCCAACATGCAGCTCTCTCTACTCTGAGCGGCGCCTCGGGTTCGATCTTCTGCGAAGCTGCGTGTCGGCCGTCGACGGTGTCGAGAACGAGAGAGCGCGGCGCTGTGCCGTCTAGCCGCTGACCGCTTTGGCACCTGCTAACCTCTCGCAGCTCGCAGCGTCTTCTTCTGGCGACGAATCGCTGCTCGAATGCGAGCAGGCCTCGCGCACGGCAGCGTCAAACCGGTCGCTCGTGTCTTTGGCTGCGCGAGAGATCTGCTCGACGGCGGAAGAGCCCGCAACGTCGAGTTTGAGAAGGTCGAGCGCCAACTGCGTCGACGAGGTCCGTGCGTCGGCTTTCTCGGTGCTTTCCCGCCATCCTTACTGGACGGGGCGGTCTTGCGTCTCGAGAGAAGTCCGTTGGGCTCGAGAGATGCCTCAAAACAGAGCGCGTCGGGCGCGAGAGGGTCAGTCGAGTAGTGCGTCGCGAACCGCCTGCGAATCGACCTCGTGCTGGGTCTGCTCGTCAAAGTCGCCCGCTCTCGTGCAGTTGCTCTCGAAGAAGGCTCTGCGCGTCAGGCCTCGGCTCTCGCAGACCTGAGTCGGTCTCTGACGGGGCTGCGTCGGCGGAGGACGAAAGTAAAGTCGGCGAACCAGCACGAGTTGCACGAAATCTGCGCGAGCTGCGACCTCCTCCTGCGATGAGAGGCACGCTCGACCCTTTTCAGAACGAGGGAGAGCAGAGAACGGTATCTAGTCGGAGGCGGGGAGGAGAGAAAGGACGACAAGGCAGGGAAATTTCAAGCCGACGAGGGGACCTTGGCGACGATGGACGAGCGGCGCGAGCGCCTGCTCGCCTGCGCCTCGCCCTTGCGGATAGTCGCAAAGACGTCGCCGTAGAACCTGCGCCCGAGAAAGCTCGTGAGTTGACGCTCGGGCGAGAGGGAAACGTGGCTCGACGAGGAGAGAGGTGGACTTACGAGCCGTTCAGGCCGGCCTGAGGCGCAATGCCAGGGCGCGCGCGCGTGGTGCGGCGCCGCACTTTCGCGGTCAAGGCATCGAGAGCCTCAGGACCAGGTCAAGGCGGCTTAGACGGCAGCTCGAAGATCCGGCGGGAGCGAGGGAAGCGATAGCTACACGAGGACGCGGACGAGCGGCTTCGTCGTCGGCACGGCAATTTGCCCACACAGCTTGCGAGTAGGGACGAGTGACCCGACGCAGAACGAGCTGCCTCAGACGAGACAAGTCGGCGTCCGCGGCCGGCGAGAAGTGGGGAGGAGGGAGAGCGAGACGAGCGAGCCTTGAGCCATCGACAGCGGGGACAGGGGCAGTCGGAGAGCCACGGCGTAGTGCAGCCGAGCACGTACGCTCACGCTGGCCGAGGTCGCGTGACTTGGTCGAGGACGACAGAGCGCGAGTCGAACGGGAGCGACTCGTCCGCCCGCTCGCTCTCGCCCCTCACCCTGTCCAGCAACCGAGGTGAGTTGTCGATGCCCTCGATGGACCTCTCGGCAGCCGCGCTGACACCCCGTCCTTGTCCGCACTGCGCAGCTCTCGCTCGACGCTCGTCATCGCCCTCCCGTCCCCGCCTCATCGCCTCGAGCCCGCTCGGTGCGTCCACGTCCCCCGCCAGTCTTCAGGGTGCGCGTCGAAGGCGTGGAGGAACAGCTGTCAAGCGCATGGGTGCGCCGGCGAGCGGGTCTCGGCGTACGCGAGACGAGCGAGCCGGACGGGTCGGCGGGGCCAACGAGGAGGAGGAGCGCAGGCGGCAGGGCCGGCGGGACACGCGGTGGAGCTCGCGATAGAGTCAGGGAGGCCGTGCGTCACCTTGGACGAGCGCACCGGACATGCGCGGGTCCACCTCGTCACTCGCCGGGCGAGTCGCTGACCTGTTTCCCACCCTCCTCCCCTCGACACATCCATCCTGTTCGTACCTCGACCGCCCCTCGACCGCTCCTGATCATCGGGAACTCTATCCCGTGCGTGCCCCCCTTCTCGCCCTCTCGCAGCTTCTCGCCCCCACATCCACCTCGCGACCTTTCGCCGCCGCCGCCATGTCCTCGCCACGCAGGCGCATCGAGACCGACGTCATGAAGCTGTGCGTCCCCGCCTTCCTCCTCTTCACGCGTACCGGGGACCGCGTCGCGTAGGCGTTCCGGTTCCGCACGGCCGAGCGCTGACCCACTGTCTCCCTTTCCACCGTCCTCGCACCTCGCGTCTCGCCGCGGTTCCCTACCTGCCGACTCTGGCTCGCGTACACCTGCGTCAGTCTCATGAGCGACTACGAGGTCAATCTCGTCAACGACAGCATGCAGGAGTTCTACGTCAAGTTCAAGGGTCCCGCCGAAAGTGAGCCCGCCAGTCCCTCGTTCTCCTCTCATGCCCTGTCGGCCGGGACGTGCCCCGACGAGGCGCAATGGACGCGACACAAAACTGACCCTGTGCCTGTGCAGCCCCGTTCCAAGGCGGCGCCTGGAAGGTTCACGTCGAGCTCCCCGACGGGTACCCGTACAAGTCGCCCTCAATCGGCTTCACCAACAAGATCTTCCACCGTGCGTCTCACTCTCTCTCCCTGTGTGGACACCGGAGCGAGCGTCGCAGGTGTCTCGCCCGCGTCGGCCCGAGCGAGCGAGGCGGTCCGCCCTCTCGAGATTCGGCTTCGCGCAGACCTGGGCGGATCGAGCGGTCAAGGGCGCCCGTCCACTGACCCACTCGTCCCATCGTGCAGCCAACATCGACGAGCTGTCGGGCTCGGTCTGCCTCGACGTCATCAACCAGACGTGGTCGCCCATGTTCGACATGGTCAACATCTTCGAGGTGTTCCTCCCGCAGCTCTTGCGGTACCCGAACGCCGCCGACCCGCTCAACGGCGAGGCTGCCGCCCTCCTCATGCGTGACCAGAAGGGCTACGACGCCAAGGTTCGAGGTAAGCCCTCGTCGCTTTCCCACCATTCCTCGCACGAGTCGAAGCTCGCGACGACGTTCGCGGTGGAACGATCGGACTCGGCCCTGATCCTCCTCGTCGTGCGCAGAGTACGTGCAGAAGTTTGCCAGCTCGGGCGCGTCGAACGACTCGGACGGCGACGACAGCGACAACTCGGATTCGGACGTACGTCGGCGGCTCCCTTTCCCCTCTGCCCCTTTGCGCGTCACCGGTTTGACCCTCGGGTGCCTTGACGCAGGACGACGACGACAACAACAACTACAGCGCTGGCGAGGACGACGGCGTCGAGGACATGGAGGTCTGAGCGCCAGCTCGCCCTCGCCGACCCCACGTCGCTCTTGTCCAGCATCCGCCTCGCCTATCGCCCTCGTCTGCCTCTGCGCCATCGTCCGCCTCTTTCTCTCGCCCCGTCCGCCTATTGTCGTACTACATTCCCTGCCCTCGCCTGCCTCTCCCCTCGTCCCTCGCTCCTCCTCTGTGTCCTTCCTCCCTCCTCGTCACCTCTCCTACCGTGCCCCTCCCATAGCATCCCCGCCATCTTTCGCCTTTGTTCTGACCTGCAACTGTAGATCTCGCGCTCGATCCTCTGCGCCAAGCGAGAGCGTGACCGGATCTTGGGAGTGGACGCCACGTCTGCCGCGGCACCCTTGGAGCGCGAGCTCGTGGCTCGTCTAGCGCGCGGCTGCCCGATGAAAGCGAGCGCTCCTAGACCGCGCTCGACAAGCTCCACCTCCCAGAACCGGGGGTGAGAACGGCGCGGCCGCCTCTTGCTCGCGGCGTCGCGCCTTCCCCTTTCGAGCGCGTGGTGCACGGCGTCTGCGCTCCTCGATTGATGCGAGCGTGCCGTGCGCGCCTTGGGACCCTGCTCGCCACTGATGCAATGGG